CTTATTTTTCAGATTCAGAGAAACGTCCAGGGTCTAGTGCCAACTGCCCAGCACAATGCTCAATCGTATTTTACAGAGGGAAGTCCCGGGGCGAGTGCCCAAACCAGTTCGTCACGTGACGTTATGACACGTTATGAGGGTGATGACATCACTTTAGCCTTCAAACAAGGGCTTACTTTACTGACGTCACACACGGGTACACTGATGGTCATATTCGGTGGCTTGGTGAAGGTTTAGTTGCATTTGTTTAATATGTGAACTACCTTGAAATTAAAATTAAATTAGTTTTATCATGGTCTAAAATTTGTGGATGGTTTTTGTTAACAGATCTGGGCGACCGTGGGCTGGAAGTTTATCCCCCTGTGTGGCGGTCTGTGTGGCGGTCTGTACAGTGGTGTGTATGTGATCGAGAGACTGCGCTGGACAAACAGTGCTAAAGAGAAAACCTTCAAGCGTCAGTTTGTGGAATACGCCACTGAAAAGCTTCAGTTGGTGGTCAGCTCTACAAGTGCCAACTGCAGTATAAAAGTACAACAGTGAGTTGAACGGACATAAATTATTTATAAATCAGCGTTAAAATGACTCTTGAAATAAATGTAATGCGTCTTTGGTTTCATTTACCATGCCTTGTGATTGGTTCATAAAAGATCGTGCCATAAGTTCAGAGCAAAAGTGTTGTTTGTCGACCGAGAGTTATTCACACATGTTGGCTGAGCTTTCTGGTTGTCACGCGTTCTTTTGGTGTCTGTCCTTTATGGCTATAATGTCACCCGTTTCGTACAAGTCCTTCACTTGTAAGGAGATTATGAATGTTGAACTCATGATCATGCCATTTGGCAAAATGTTGGCACGTAAATTGGATAAGGATTATCCAGACCTGTCTATGAACTAGCATACGATTACGAGTAATGGTATCGGTATGATATATGTAGTAGTGAAACATTTAAGGGACACAGTCAGCTGGTGCATATGCGCATTAGATACCATTTCATAGCTAATTTGCATATCACAGAGACGCGATCCATACTATTATTAACCAAGCATGATAATAATTATATCATAGGATGAGCAAAAGCACACTCAAAAAGCAGGTTTTTCAGTAAACGATTGAA